CACACACTCGAATCATAATGCAAGTTGCTTGTTAAAATTTTATTTGATCCAAAATATAGGATATTTTTGTAGTTTTATTTATGAATTAATTTTAATGTGTTTAACTGGAATTAAGAAAATATTAAAACTTATTAACTCTATTTAAAAATTTAATAATTTTTCAATCTTGTCTCCATTAAATATATATATTTTAATAACCTCTTCGTCCTAAATTATAGGTCACTTTTAAAAAAAAATTTTATTTTAAAATATAAAACACTTTTAGTAAATTAAAATTTTATTAAATGCACCAATTTTAATATTATCCTTTCTGTCTCTATAATTAATTTTTATCACTTCTCTTTTCAATATATTAAATAATGGATATTTTAAAAAGTTTATATTTTTATTTTTAAAAGATAAGGTTGTTAAGTATATTTAATGAGGTTTATTGATATGTAAAATTTTGTTTAAAAATATCTTATAATTTGAGATGAAGGGAGTAATATATTTTCTTTCACCAACATTCAGTAAAGGGAAAATAAAAAAAATTATAATAAAAATTTAATGAAATAATTTATAAATACGATAAAAGAAATTTCTTGCTACCCTATAAAAAAATAAGAGAAATATTTATTATGTATATTTTTCAATTATATCCTTACTTTATTAAATAATTAATTATATTATTTTAAATAAATTAAATATTATATTTATTATATTCAAGACATGATTAAAAAGATGTGAAAATTTTTATAAAATTAAATCAACATTTTTTAGAAACTTAAATTAATTAATGATGAATTATATTATAATTTGATGGGTATATATAGATATAGATATGTATTTATCTATGTAAATGATACTATTTGCCGGTAGTTAGTAGTTGGAATGTTGGCCCCACGCATGATTCCCACGCTGCATGTGGTGCACGCGATTAATGAGATTTGTGTTCAATGGGCAAAATTGCCAGCGAAAAAATGAATTAAAAAGTTTAATCATTAAAGGATTGAATTTGTTTGCACCAAGGAAACGTCGGTGGTTGATGCAAACTATTAAAGTTTGTCTTATAATATAGTACGAGTAATTGTCTAATTTTAAAACAGGGAAAGACGGCAAACAAACTTCATTGCCATTTACCACCCTGGCCATTTTAAACGATTACTGAAATTTATATCGTTTGTTCTTTGAGAATTATAGATGTTAACAAAAATCATACATCACCATTCATTTATTATTTCTTAGGGCGACATCAATATAAAATTAAAATTTATTACTATTTTTTTATCCCAGAATTTGTTACTATTTAAAGAGAATTGTATACCTGTGTATAAAAAAGAAGAGAGAATTACATACCTGACCAGAGTTTTGTATATTTTTCTTGAAATTATATTTATTTTTTAAAAAATTAAATATGCACTAATTATTGACCCAGACTAATTATAAATTGTAAAAGTATATGTTTTTTTAAAAAATATAATATGGAGAATTTCAACTAAGGATCATAAATATGATTTAGTTATTAATAGGTCCCAAAAAAATTGAAATTTCATTTCAGTTTAGAAGAATTGAAGTAAAAATAATTTCAACTATTCATTTATTAATTTTGTTCAAGATACAAAATTATTAATTGTTAATAGTCGCTTGTAATTGAATAACTGATATCAAATATTGTATAATTATTTATAGATCAATTCATGTAATTTTCAATTTATATTATTAAATTAATAAGTGAAGTAAAAAAAATTAATAATTAATAATTTTATATTTTGAATAAACTTAACTAACGAAGGGTATTTTAGTGTTCTCATTATTAAAATTATTTTTACTTTAGCCCTCATAAATTGAATTGAAGTTTTAAATTTTTTTTAAAATTTACTAATAAATAAATCTTATACTTGGTTCTTAGTTGAAATTATTCCAATGTAATATATAAAATGAAGAACACGACCTTCTTGCAACAGCGTACTTGACAAGGAAGGTTCTTGGAGCCTAAGGAAACAACAAGACTAGCTTCCACACGTGTCATGCAAGATTAAAACTTGTTTCAATTTTCAAACTAATTAATTATTTCCTGTTCCTTGAAATAAAACGCTTGCCTGTCTGTCACAGACGTTGACCCTAAGGGTCAGGGTTCTTGCCTGCTTGGGGCCGAAGTAAAACAATTAAATAACAAACTCTGCTTTGTGCCAAAAACAAAAAAAAAAAAAAAAAAAACTCTGCTTATTGAGTGACATTTCACCACCTGTGTCTGCGAATCAAGGTAGAATGGCATTAAAATTTTGAAACAAATTTTTTTTTCATAATTTGATTCTTAATAATTTTTTTAAGATCAACTGCAAATATTAATTTAAATTTAAAAGTGTTAATTATAAATAAAATATTTAAATTCTAACTGCAATTGCAATTTTTGTTCATAGTTATTTAAATTAATATTTATAATTTATTTTTTAAAAAAATTATCAAGAATTTCAATCTCATGAAATTTTTATTTTAAAATTTTACTATCATTCTCATGTGAATTTATGCTCTTATTTTATAATAACCAAAATTTTTAGTCATTTTTAAATAAACGAGATAATTTTTAGTTAAAAGGACCAACAACTAATACTATCAACAACAACTAATACTATCTAAATATCTATTCTCTCTGTCCGGGCAAAATTTTCAATTCCTACATTATCTTAAATAAAGAGTAGAGATGTATTCCTCCTTTCACGACTCAAGGGATGTGATTAAATTTTTTAAAAAAGTATAATATAATAAGGATTAAAGAAGTAGTAGTCAATCTTTTTTCCAATATTATATATCCTTAATTGCATCAAGTTATAATTCTTAAAAACACTTTAGTGTGTTTATTAATTTTAGCAAAAGATACAATTGAAAAGTCATATATTTCTTACAAATTTAAATATATTAATTATCAATCATTAACAATTGTTAAGTTGATTAACATTGCCCTATAATTAGGATTGGTTCACCCCTCTAATTCAATTTATAAATTATAAAACAGAAAAAAAATTAATTTTGATCCTATTTATAAAACATTTCACTATTTTTTACATTTATTTTTATCTTATCACTTTTCTTAAATGTTAAAAAAAATTAAAATATTTTTTATTCTTATTAGGAAGTACACATGAAATCTTAATAAATTTTAAAATAAAATTAATAAAATTTAATTTTTTTATCATGATAAAATATGCTATATATCGGATAAGGTGAGTAATCTCATACGTGAGTTACCGATAACTACCTCATCAACATTAAGAAAACGCTTGAATTCATTAATTTTATTTTCAAATAATTTTTGAAATGACCCTGATTAATTAACTTAAATATATTCTCTCCCACTCCACGAGGAAAGTTGACTTTAGAGAATATTTGTGAAATAAATAAATTATATTTAAAACTAAATAAAATGCTATAAAATAAAACTAAGAGTCATGACACTTACAGCTACGCAAGGCTAAAGAGAATACCACAAAATAAAATTTGAAGAGTATTTTTGAAAAACTCCATTATTAGTATGTGTAAATTTTGAAATTATATTTAATAAATTTTACTACCACGTGTAATTTTGTTAAAAACCTATTTTAAGATATTTTAAGATAAAATTATACACAATAATAAAGCTCATTAAATTCACTTTACAATCTCATTTCTTAAAATAAAAAGATAAATTTTCATAAATAACTTTCATTATAATTTTATTTGAAAAAAATTGCATATATGTCCCATTGAGAAGATTTATTTATACTTTAAGTTTCGCAAAATTTAAAAATTATAGTCTTAAAACATGAGTGTAATTTAAAACTAAGGTATGAATACAATACTGTCCTAACTAATGGATGATAAATTTAATTATTGAATATATAAAATTAGAGTTGTAAAAAAATTGAAGTAACAATTATAAATTACTTATGGGTAGTTATAAACAATTGGTTTTAAACTTTATTAATAACACATAATCTATTTAACTATTAAATAATTTATGAATCTATAATTATAAAATATTAAAATGATAGTTGTAAATTACTAATGAGATATTTATATGCAATTATATTAAACTTATAACATATGATCCGTTTAACAATTAAATATGTGAAGTTACAGTTATAAAAAGTTAAAGTGATAATTATAAATTATTAATAAAAGGGCTGTAAATTACTCGATTAATGTAGTGTATTTTTACTAAAATATTATTATTTTTGAACTCTAATTTTAAATTATAATTTTTAAATTTTACAAGATTTATTCACAAACAAGCATGTTCCAAACCACCTATTCATGAAACATTAAATGGAGAAGGAAAACATAATATAGAAATGTTAATATTAAAACAAATATAATTAACCCATCACTGTGCTCATGGCTTGTAGTTGGGGTCTCTTCTTATAAAAAAATATATAATTAATAAGACCTTATTTTTATTTAAAATATCAAATTATCTTTAAAAATATCTTATAAATATTGAGACTACTCTTAAAAAGTTGTTATTTTTTAAAACAAATTTTTCCATACACACTTTTAAAAATTAATGGAATCAATTTAAGTCTTCAAGGGCCTAAACTATTAAGGATGAGTTTCTCTCCTTTTATTTTTTTTTCACTATAAGTTTAAATCGTTTAAATTAAATTTATTTCTTAAAACTATTAAATTTAAATTAACAATTCGATCTACAGAAATCTCTCATCTACTCTTCTCTAACTCCAAGTCATTGCTGTATCCTGTATGAACTATACCCACTTGATTAGATAGTACGTTATTTTAAAAAAAGAAAAAAGTCAGGAGCGTAATTCTGTCACATGCACAAATGTCAAGATAAATGAACCTGGCAATTACGTTCCCACACACTATCCCTGACTCACTGATCGTCATCGATGATCCAATTTGTATCTGGACTCCTACTTTTTTATTCCTACTTTAAGTGGACCCCACTCTCCCCTTGCTCTCTCCTTCCTCCTTCCTCTAGCCGGCGCCCCCTCGCCTCCCGTATATATACTCTCTCCTCTCTCACTCCCCTCACCACTTTCCTCACTCTTTCAATTCCTCATCGCAATGGCTCTCGTCCGCGATCGCCGCCATCTCAACCTCCGCCTCCCTCTACCGGAACCCTCCGAGCGCCGTCCTCGCTTCCCCCTCCCAGTCCCTCCCTCCTCCACGGCCTCCAACAACTCGGTCGCCGCTGATATCGCCCCTAACGATCTCGAAAAGCTTCAGGTACTTGGCCACGGCAACGGTGGCACAGTTTATAAGGTCCGTCACAAGCGCACCTCCGCCGTCTACGCTCTCAAGGTCGTCCATAGCGACTCCGATCCCATGACCCGCCGTCAAGTCCGGAGGGAGATGGATATCCTCCGCCGGACGGACTCGCCTTACGTCGTGCGCTGTCACGGGTTCTTCGAGAAACCTTCCGGAGATGTGGCGATTGTCATGGAGTATATGGATTTGGGAACGCTGGACACGTTGTTAAAGAAGAACGGGACGTTTTCTGAAGCCCAACTCGCGGCGGTGGCGCGCCAGGTTTTAAATGGGCTGAGCTATCTCCACGCGCACAAGATTGTCCACCGCGATATCAAGCCCTCGAATCTATTGGTGAATCAGAAAATGGAAGTGAAAATCGGTGATTTTGGAGTAAGCAAGGTCATGTGCCGCACGCTAGACGCGTGCAACTCATACGTTGGGACGTGCGCGTACATGAGCCCGGAACGGTTCGACCCGGATAGGTATGGGGGGAATTATAACGGATACTCGGGCGATATATGGAGCTTGGGCCTTACCTTGTTCGAACTGTACGTGGGTCACTTCCCGTTTCTACCGGCGGGTCAGAGGCCCGACTGGGCGACCCTGATGTGTGCGATTTGCTTCGGAGACCCGCCTAGCTTGCCCGGGAAGGCTTCGAAAGAGTTTCGGAGCTTCATAGATTGTTGCCTGAAGAAGGAGTCTAGTGAGAGGTGGAGTGCCTGTCAGCTTTTGAGTCATCCATTTCTTTCGGGGAAGTGTTAGCTGTGTACAGGTCTGGGTTCTCAATGCCGGGTCGGGTAGGACAGGGACTTTTTTGTCAGTCGGTGTATATACCGTCGGGATTCTATTTTGTATTTCCCGAGTAGAAGCTGTATCGTTTGGCCCGAGGAAGGAAACTATACCATTCTCTTCGTAGATTCGATTTTCTTCACCCACTTTCACGTTTGCTAGCTAATTTCATATTTTAAATATCCATTTTTTGGTTTTCACGACACTAATATTCAAATTCAACTACAAACATTTTAAAACTAGAGGATGGTTTAGTCATGGACAGTCATAGGTAGCTGGATATGTTCTTTAAAATGGTGATTTATTTTATTCCTTCGTGACAAAATATTTATTATTGTCAACTAAATTACAATTTTCAGAAAAATAGTAGGTAAAATTTTATTTTAAAAACCATTTATATTTTTTTTTATACCTTTGAGTTTTTTTAATGACATGTGCATATTTTAAATATGAAGTGTTTATATGAAGTGTTTAAAGATAATAAATAAAAAAGTAAGGAGATAAAGAAAAAAGACATAAAATTTATTTAATACTTTACATTTTGGATCAATGAGTGTTTTTAAAACGCCAGTGTGTAGGGAGTATATGTTTACTGGTTTTGGGGTGATGGGAGGAATTTATAATCATACAACAACAACAATAACAACAAGTCTTTATCCCATTAGGTGGGGTCGGCTACATGGATTGCAAGACGCCATTGTGCTCTATCATTTATCAAGCTTTTAGGAATATTATTAATTAAGAGATCGGGTTCAACAACTTTCAAGAGTATTCTCTTAGGCCTTTCTCTACCTCTCTTAATCGGACTCAAAGTTATATGTTTCACTCTTCTCACTGGTGCCTCCCTTGGTCTTCTTTGTACATGCCCAAATCATTTCAACCGATTTTCTACCATTTTTTCTTAATAGGTGCCACCCTCACTTTTTCGCGTACGTGCTCATTTTGAATTTTATCTTTACGTGTATGTCCGCACATCCATCGTAACATTCTCATCTCTGCTACTCCAATTTTATGCTCTTGTTGTCCCGTTAGAGCCCAGCATTCACTACTATATAACATTGCCGGTCTAATAGCAGTGCGATAAAACTTTCCTTTAAGTTTATTAGGCACCTTACGGTCGCAAATAACTCCTTTAGCTTTTCTCCAATTAAATCACCCAGCTTGAATTCTATGTGAAATATCTCCACTGATTTCACCATCATTTTGAATAATGGCTCCCAAATATCTAAACTTTTTCACTTGAGGTATAATTTGATCTCCCAATTTCACTTCCAAATTATTGTCGAATAGTCCTTTACCAAATTTACAATATAAATATTCCATCTTATTTCTACTCAGACGAAAACCTTTCGACTCCAATGTCCTCCTCCATAACTCAAGTTTGCAATTAATCTCTTCTTTTGTTTCTGCTATAAGAATTATATCATCCGTGAAGAGCATACATTTCAAAATTTCCCCATGTTCCGTCAAAACATTTAAGATTAAGTTAAACAAATAAGAATTTAGAGATAATCTCTGATGGAGTCCAATCTTTATAGAAAAATTCTTTGTTTGACCACTAGGCATTCTTATACTAGTTTTTACCCCTTCATACATATCTTGTATGGCTTTAATATAAGCAATTCGTACTCCCTTTTTTTCTAACGCTTTCTAAAGCACTTCTCTTAGTATACGGTCATAAGCTTTTTCCAAATCAATAAAAACCATGTGTAGATTTTTATCTTTACAATGATACTTTTCCATTAATCCCCTTAGTAGATAAATCGCCTCTGTAGTTGATCTACCTGGTATAAAACCAAACTGATTCTCAAAATACTTGTCTCCAATCTCAACCTGTGCTCAATTACTTTCTCCCACAATTTCATTGTGTGGCTTATAAGTTTAATCCCTCTATAGTTAGTACAATTCTGAATATCTCCTTTATTTTTATAAATAGGAATTAATGTACTTCTCCTCCACTCATCAGGCATTTTCTTGGACCGTAAAATCACATTAAATAACTTAGTTAACCATCTCACTCCTTTTTCACCTAAACATTTCCACGCTTCGATAGATATACAATCAGGTCCGTTGGCTCTACCATTTGCCATTTTCTTAAGAGTTTCCTTTACCTCCTTATCACGTATTATTTGATAGAATGACAAATTTTATTCTCCTTCACCAGTTACTAAATCCTCCAAGTTACTAGATGAACCCTCTCCATTATTGAAAAGTTTAGAAAAGTAAGTCTCCCATCTATTTTTAATTTCATCATCTGTAACTAAAGTTCTTCCCTCTTCATCCTTAATACACCTTACCTGTTCTAGATCTCTTGATTTTCTTTCCCTACTCTTAGCAATCTTATAAATATTTCGCTCTCCTTCCTTCGTCTCAAGGCTCTTATAAAATTCTTCAAAAGTTTTAGAACGAGCTTTACCTACAGCTCTCTTAGTTTCCTTCTTAGCCATATGGTACCTCTCTCAATTTTCCTCATTGTTACATAAATGTGTGGCTTTAAAACAATTCTTCTTATACTTGATTTTGTCCTGTACACTATTATTCCACCACCAAGACTCCTTATCTCTCAGACCAGAACCTTTTGATTCTCCCAAAACTACTTTTGCAACCTCTCGTATCTTTTTAGCCATATTCTCCCACATGATGTTAGCACTTCTCTGAGATTCCCAAATTCCTTTATCCAAAAGATTTCGTTTGAAAATATCTTGCTTCTCACCTTTTAATTGCCACCACCTAATCATTGGTGCTACTACTTGTTGACGTTTTTGAATTTTACTCATAATACACACAACAAGGACTAGGACCCTATGTTGTGTCGTTACAGCATTTCCGGGGATCACCTTGTAATTTTTACAAAGTCTTCTATCTGTGTTTCTAACCAAAAGAAAATCAATCTGTGACCTTAAGGCTCCACTTTTGTAAGTGATGAGATGCTCATCTCTCTTCTTGAAACAAGTGTTGGCAATCTTAAAATCATACGCCAATGAGAAATCAAGAAGAGTTTGTCCTTCATTGTTTAGCTCTCCAAAACTAAAACCACCATGCACCCTCGCATACTGACCAGCTTCTCTCCCGACATGCCCATTAAAGTCTCCTCCAATAAAAATCTTTTCACTCTGTGGTATGTGTCGAATCAACCCCTCCAGATCCTCCTAAAATAATTCCTTAAGACTGGCTTCTGTCCCGACTTGCAGCGCATAAGCGCTAACAATATTAACAGTCTTACGTCCAATTATCATTTTTAAGGAAATAATTCTGTCTCCAATTCTACTAACTTCTACAACGTTCTTCTTCCACTCCTTATCTATAATGATGCCTATGTCATTGCGTGCACTTACTTTTCCTGTATATCAAAGTTTGAAACCTTGAATATCCTTAGCTTCTTCTCCACGCCATTTTGTTTCTTGCAGGCAAAGGATATTGATTTTCCTTTGAATCATAAGCCCTACAACCTCTACAGATTTACAATTCAATGTCCCAACATTCCAAGTACCAAATCTAATTTTGCTCTTATGGACTAACTTCTTTAGCCGCATGCGTCCATAATGACGCGGTAGCCCTTGCTCATTTAACACTAGATTCGAGCGCCAATGTAGTGGCTCTAACTCACTTATCATTGTACTCGAGCCATGCAGCGCGTTACTTATGAGCAACGACCTAGCATTAACATTATAACATCTATTGTTCATGTTCATGATAGCTTCAACAAAGTTTTACATTAACTGTTGATGGCCTAACACAACCCTTCTTCTTTACCCGAGCTTGGGACCGGCTATAAACATAGGCGGAGTTGGAGGAATTTATAATCATATTATCATGAAAATAACAGTAGTTGGTGACTCAGTCACGGGAAAGAAATAAAACAGAATTAAAAGGCAAGCTGCCTTCTTGTCGGTGTTGGATAAAAATTAATAAGAAAGATTTAAAATTGTCACGTAAAAATAACTGAATGCAAATTAACGTATTCCATAATAACAAGGGTGTAGAGGGGACTGGAGATGTAGACGTTCAGGGATAAAACTGTAATTATGAACACAAGATACTGTCATAGTGTCACACTGTAGCTTCGTTTGTCTGATTTAAATCTAGAAACATATTTATAATTATTTTGATAATAATAAATTAAAATTATAATATATCATTTTTTTAGAAAGATAGGTGAACTAAATTCATAAAAGATAAAAGGTAATTGTTGGCCTGTTTTTCAGTGAATGTGTCAATGCATCGTGACTAGTGTTCGAGTGTGCCAAACATATTAGAAAAGTGTGTTTTTAAAAGAGTGAATTGTGATTAGATAATTGAAATGAATTCTCAAAATCCTTCATCATAATTTTTGTGTAGAGTTAAGTGACTCGTGAGAATGACTGTAATGAGTGTGCCCCAAATGAGTGTGGGGAAAGAGAGACACAATGAAGTGCCAGATAGATAGAGAGAGACTATCAAGCCTAGAAGACTAGCTTAAAGTGCTGAGTTTGCATAAGGGAAGTAAGTTGTGTTGGGTGAGGCTGAAGATAATGCAATGGTTAGGATTTAAGTAGTTATACTAAGCAAATTTAGTATAAATTTGGCAGAATGTAGAGAGCCTTGACTTACATGTTCGTTGCCTATTTATAATAAAAGGCAATGGTGTGCTCCATTTTGAATTTGAGTTTGGCATCAATAAAAATAGATAACTGTTAGTGTTTATAATTTCCCTAAGAGAGTTCCATAGTGCAAAGTAGTGGATGCTGGAACAACGAGAATCTCAAATAGTGGGAGGAGTGGATGTGACTCTATCAAACCTTCTTTGAAATGCACCGTCTCACTAATCTCCGCTCAACTAAATCATAATTGGATTGAGTTCCACCTCCTTTAATTAAACTTTGAGGATCTTTTGTAATTGAGTTTGACACTCCAATTTTAGTTCAAACGGTAATACTTAATTTATAAATTTATGAATCGTGATTTATGAAATTTTTAAATGGTATAATGATTTTTACATTTATTAAAAAAGAGTAACTTAATTTATTTTAATTTTAATTTTTTTAATTTATTTCATTATATCATCTTTCTAACAGTGAAACAGGACCCTAACGTGTTTGTAAGTGAAATTATCCCATTTCCCCTAGTTTTATGAAGATAGTAACAAT